AAAGGTTTATTGAAGACATGTTTGTATTTTATTTTTTCAGTGCTCCTGTATTTGCTTGGTCGACTTTCTCTTGTCTGTTATTTTTGCAGATGTCTTGCCTTCGACTTCGGCGTCGATGCTGCTAGTCGAGAGAATCGGTAAAGGCCTGGGCCATTACAACGGAACATGTAAACAAACACGTCTTGGCCCTAAGATTGACGTTAATGGCGTTCAGGGATGTTTTTCCTAGGACAGCTGTCAGTCGAGTTAAGCGAACGCCAGAGAGCTTCGGTGATACATGCACACCAACATGTAAGTACTGGCAAGGTTAACTGGTATTGACCGGGTTAAAATGACAACTCAAATCATTAATAAAGCGTTTAGTCGATAGTATAGAGAATTATCGGTACGATTGTCACGCAATCAATCAATCATCAATCAATCAATCTATTTATGTATCTATCTCACTCTGTTTATATCTTTTTATCAATCTGTCTGTTCATATCTATCTATCTATCTAGCTAGCTAGCTAGCTATCTCACTCTGTTCATATCTATATATCAATCTATCTCAGTCTATTCATATCTATCTCACTCTGTTCATATCTGTTTATCAATCTGTTCATATCTATCTATCTAGCTAGCTAGCTAGCTATCTACCTCACTCTGTTCATATCTATATATCTATCTATCTATTTATCTATCTTTGTTCATATCTGTTTAACAATCTGTCTGTTCATATCTAGCTAGCTAGCTAGCTATCTCACTCTATTCATATCTATATGTCAATTTATCTCAATCTTTTTATCTATCTCTCTCTCTCTCTCTCTATATATATATATATATATATATATATATATATATATATGCACATATATCAATCCCATCTATCTATAGATCTATCTATGCTTGTTCATATATATTTACCAATGTTTATCTCATTCTGTTCATATATATCTACCTATGTATCAATCCATGGGATAACGACACACACACACATACATACATACATACACACACACACACACACACACACATATATATATATATATATATATATATATATATACAGGGTGAACCAAAATTAAGTAGACAGTAAATGATAACATTTATTTTGAGATTATGTACTAATACAATAAAATTTTGATAATTAAATTTTTGCAATTAAATTATATTGTTTTCTGAAATTATTGGATTTCATTTAAATTCGTTCGACAGGATCTCATTAATTGCAGACGCTTGTCTAGTTCATCCTCCAGTAAGCCGTGAATTAGCCATGGACGGTAAGCTTTCAACCCAACAGATTTTAGAATTCGTATATTAAAGTTTTGGGAAATGTCCAATGCTGCTGATTCTCTTCTGGTGGACTTTTTGCGTCAATGAATAAAAATGCTTCGTGAACAAGTTGATTATGGTCCCCTGTGCAAACTGTTTTTGGTCGACCCGTTTTATCAAATTTGTCACGAATGCGGTAAATAGTTTGTCTCTTTGGAGCTTGAGTTTCTCATATTTCAACCCATTTTGTTCTTTTCAGCATTTTCAAACTTATAATACTCTTTTAACAGCCATTCTCTAGCATCAGTATTTAAATTATTTACCATTATGGGTTCTCACAACTATCTAAAAAAAAAAGATTAAATTTAAATAAATACAGCTATAAAGCTTCGTATAACATAACCCAAACACCATATTTATGATTTAACCCAAACACCATATTTATGATTTAACCCAAACACCATATTTATAATATAACCCAAACACCGTATTTATAATTTAACCCAAACACCACATTTATGATTTAACCCAAACACCATATTTAGGATTTAACCCAAACACCATATTTATAATATAACCCAAACACCATATTTATGATTTTACCCAAACACCATATTTATAATTTAACCCAAGCACCATATTTATAATATAACCCAAACACCATATTTATAATTTAACCCAAACACCATATTTATAATATAACCCAAACACAATATTTATAATTTAACCCAAACACCATATTTATAATTTAGCCCAAACACCATATTTATAATTTAACCCAAACACCATATTTATAATTTAACCCTAACACAAACCCTATTCTATCTATTCTCCACCTCTCTTCAGTTCATCCTGTTTATATTTTTAAATATCAAGAACAATTTTAAGGGAAAAATGTATCCCGTTCTTTAGAGAGAAGAAAATAATTCTAAGTGCCTCTCTTTCGTTTATGCGCATGTGCAGTTGCATCAACGTAAACATAAACTGTGCAATGAAGTCCTAAAGGACGGAACGCGTCACACGAAAACATTTTTCATTTTGCCACAATCCTTTCCCCTAATAAATAAATAAATCTATCTATCTATCTATCTATCTATCTATCTATCTATATATATATATATATATATATATATATATCAGGGCGACCTGACGATTGCGTCTAGTATGAAATAGCCTTTCGCTTCTGAGTGTTGACTTCAATGTTAACTTTTATATTTATATTTATATTTATATCCGCTCTATGTCTGATATTGAGTACTATATTCCATAAACATAGCACACATTAAAACACCTATATTTCTTCATATATATATATATATATATATATATATATATATATATATATATATATATATATATATATATGTCAGGGTGGCCTCAAGGATTGCGTCTAGTATGAAATAGCCTTTCGCTTCTGTGTGTTGACTTCAATGTTAACTTTTTTTATTTATATTTATATATATCTCTGATATTGAGCAGTTTATTCCATAAATATAGCCCACCTTAAAACACCTATATTTCTTCATATATATATATATATATATATATATATATATATATATATATATATATATATATTAGCGTGCAGCTTACATTCTATATCATAAAGAAAAAATTATACAAAGAATTAAATAACAATGTTAATGTGATTAATGGTGAAATTACTTCGCTAACAGAACTTACTGAGATATTAACTTACTATCGATTCCTTGAATAAGATCCTTATATTCGAGTTGTCGTCAGATAGAAGACACATGCCAAACCCTTTCGACCATTTCAATTTGTCATCGTCAGGGTACACTTTTCTTATATATAAACAATTTATGAGATTTATACAAGAATTTTCAAATCGATCTGTTTTTGAACGCAAAATGCTCTCAAATTTGCTTTGAGGTCCTGCGTTGGCCCCACATAAACAAGATTATTAATAAAAAGAAATTAAATAGTTCTAATGAGGATAAAAAAGAAAAGAAAATTTCCATAAAAATACTTTGATTCTAGACAAATTCTTTATTATTATTAGTCTTAATATTTACTTCATGTATTCTCTTCTTTAGAGAGCTTTTAGAGGTAACGTATTTTGCTGCTTCTAAAACACATTCTTCTCCCGATGATATATATCTCCAAATACCATCCGGCGTCATATAAATCGAGAGTCAGTAACGGGAGTTAATTTCTCTTCTAATTATTACATTCTAAATAGTTTACAAAAATTTGGTATTTTTTCTCGGTCTGTGATTATTTAGCATGATTAGTCAGGTTTTCATGCTGAAATATGCTATTAAGTGGGTAAAGTGGTAAATAGAGAATGGGGAGGGCTATGAAGTACACGAAAAAGACATTATTTCCAATTTCTTCCTTCAAAAAACTGTGTGGATCGTCTAGTACATCAGAATCCATTATATGCAGCGAAATATATATATATATATGTATATATATATATATATATATATATATATATATATATATATATATATATATATATATATATATATATATACATACATATATATATATATATAAATATATATATATATATATATATATATATATATATATATACATACATACATATATATATATATATATATATATATATATATATATATATATATATATATATATATATATATATATATATATATATATATATATATATATATATATATATATATACATATATATATATATATATATACATACATATACATATATATAAATAACATATATATATATATATATATATATATATATAAACATGCATACATACATATATATATACATTATATATATATATATACATATATATATATATATATATATATGTATGTATATTCAACGGCTGATGTTAAAAAAATCCTTTCTCCCTCAGTCCTAGCATATATGATCCCATTCTAATGACTATTTTATCTGTTTAAATATATATATATATATATATATATATATATATATATAATAGACAGGTTGGTTAATAAAACTAGAACAAACGAAAGGGTACCAATATAATCAGTCTGTTAAACATTTATTAAATATTAATTATTAACCATATGACAGAAATGAAGCACGGAAAGAATGTTTTTAAGTTCGGAATTTTCGGACACTCCTGTGTCCTTCATCCACGGACCGAGGAATAAACAGAGAAACGGGAATTACTCACCAATAGTTTTTTTTTTTTCTAGATGGTGTATTTACTGGTGGAAATTGTATTGTTAGCAAAAACTCGATCTCTGATTCCTCGATGTGCGAAGCCTTTTTATATTTCTAATTATACATATATATATATATATATATATATATATATATATATATATATATGCGTGCGTGTGTGCGTGTGTGTGGCACACCTGTAAGTTTACTGTTACTAACAAGCAGGATGTTTTTCTCCAAATGGTGGCCATGCTGGCCGTAACTAGTTGTGGAACGTAATTTAAATAAGAAAACAAAAATGTTAATATACAAACCAATGTATCTGAAATTTTAATTTTTAAATATTTTTTTATAGTTCAAAACATTATATATATATATATATATATATATATATATATAATCATGCATAAAAAGTTAATTATCAGAGTTGAATCAGACCAGGAAACAGTGATATAAAATGTGTATAATACACGTGTAAAAAAAAGAGCAAAATTAACATGTCGTGCTTTTAACATTAAAAACTTGGATGTTTATATGAACAATTTTGTTAATTTCAGATAACATATGCAAACCTATTAACTCTGAGATCTCAGCTTCTTTGAAATAGGTATTATTTATAAAGCAGAAGTAACAAATATTAATGGCCAAAATAAAACCTACATTGGATGTACGGAAGGTGCTTTTGAACGTAGTTGTTACAATCTTAGGTCGTCTTCTAAGCTAGCAAATCTTAGATACTCTACGAAACTATCTAATCATGTGTGGGA